CTGTCTGTCAAATAAATAAATAAAATCTTAAAAAAAAAAAAAAAAAAAAAGAACTTTACTGAGACATCCAGTAAAATCAGAATGATCTCTATGGTAGTAGTGTATTAAGGCTAATTTCCTAAAATTGATGGATCGTTATTTAGCAGAGTATTTTTGTTTTTAGGAAATATACATTTGTATATTTAGGAAATATACAAATATACTTTAGGAAGTATTTAGGTGGGGGTAATGCCTCCAACTTAGCCATAATAATTCAGAAAAAAAAAAAACAGATTTGGGTATGTTTGTGGGGGGTTATAAGGCAGACAGAGTAAAATGTTAACAACTAAGTAATCTGAGTGAAGAATATATGGGATTTCTTGGTTTCATTCTTGCAATAATTATATGAGTTTGAAATTATTTCAAAATAAAATATTAAGAAAAATGTAGATGCTACAGAATGTAGTGGTTAAGAGCCTAAGTTCTGGAGTCACATAAACTGAATGTGAATCCCAACTCTACCACTTCATGGCTGTGTGACATCAGCAAGTTACTTAACCTCGAAGCCTCAGTTTCTCCATCAGTAAAATGAGAACAATACGAGGCCTCCTATGGTGTTTAAAAGGTTAATATTTAACATAAATACTTCATACATAACACACTGCCTGGCATATAAAAACTCAAATAGTACGGGTGCCTAGGTGGCATGATCGGTAAGCATCTGACTCTTGGTTTCGGCTCAGGTCATGATCTCAGGGTGTTGAGATAAAGCCCTGTGTCTGGGTCCATAGTCAGTGCAGAGCCGGCTTGTGATGCTCTCTCCATCTCTGCCCCTCCCGCTCATGCTCTCTCTCTCTCCCTCTCTAAAATAAATAAGTGAATCTGGAAAAAAATTATTCAAATAGTAACTGCTATTATTATTAGCAGTAACATCTAAAAGGTGACTCTGAGATGTGGAGAACACAACAAAATGTCTCTTTAAAGACTAACAAACATAGTAAATTATGAGAGACAGTTCCAGGTTTTGTAGCTTTATGATGGTGAATTAGTCCGTATAGAAATAACATGCAAGTTATCTAGCTTTCTTATAAATTTTACTCATTTTTTATATCAAGGGGATACAACAACATATGTGGCATCAGCAGACAAAAGATTTCTCCAAGTTTCTGACCAGGGAAAGCAGATGGAGTAACCAGTACGGACATATCCTGCTGCAGCTTCCTCTGCTCACAAGTAGGAGGTCAGTTTGTCCTGCTGCTTCCAGAGAATTACCGAAAAGAGAGGGATTAGGAGGAGCCAGACACCGGCTTCACAAGAAGAGATTAACTATGTCTGTATTCAGACCATCCAATTCCTCCACCTTTAGGCATAAAACACTCCAGCCAGTCTACTGCCCAGGCAGTAAAACAAAAATTCCTACTGTGGAGAAATGAGTGCAGGGAAGACACTTCTATTTAATTTTTTTTTAAAGATTTTATTTATTTATTTGACAGACAGAGATCACAAGTAGGCAGAGAGGCAGGCAGAGAGAGAGAGGGAAGCAGGCTCCCCGCTGAGCAGAGAGCCCAATGCGGGGCTTGATCCCAGGACCCTGGGACCATGACCCAAGCCGAAGGCAGAGGCTTTAACCCACTGAACCACCCAGGTGCCCCACTTCTATTTAATTTTATGAGCTACTACTTATTTTGTGTTCTTTCAAAAATTTCCCTTCTTAGTTGACTTGGCCAGAATCAGCTTCTATCACTTGCAACCAAAGAACACTAACCAATGTTCTTTTAGAATGGCAATGTGGCAGTATCTTCTTGAAAAAAAAAATTAGTTTTATTGAGATACAATTTATATACCATAACTTTTTTATCACTTAAAGTCCACAATTCAACAGTTTTTAGTATACACACAAAGTTGTGCAACTATCACCGTAATCTAACTGGAGAACATGTTCCTCATCCTCCAAAGAAACTGTGTACTCGTTGCAGTCATCCCCCATTCCCTGGATTCACCCGCCCAACCCCTTGTGCCCTTACCTCAGCCCTAGAAAACCACCAATCTACTTCTTGGTTCCCTGTATTTGCTGCTTCTGGACATTTCATGTATATGAAATCGTATGATATGTGGCTTCTCTCACTTAGCATCATGTTTTTCAGGTTGGTCCACATTGCAATACATATCAGAATTTCATTCCTCTTTCTTGCTGAATAACATTCCATGTATGAATAGTCCACAGTTAGGTTAGCCAAACTTGGTAGACAGTTCCCACTTTTTGGCTATCATGGATAATGCTGCTATAACTATTCATGTACAAATTGTTGTACAGACCTGTCTTTTCATTTCTCTGGGGTTGATACCTAGAAATGGAATTGCTCGGTCACCAGGTGACTTGATGGTTAAAATTCTGAGGAGCAGCCAAACAGTCCAGTGCTCTTTTTGAAATATACACACACACAATGTATATTCTATGATCCAGCAATTAATACAATTACTAATTCTGATCATCTTATCTACAGAGATTTATAAAAGACTGTTTACTATATTACTGCCTTTAACATAAGACAATTTTTATTCATGTAATTGTTCATCTAAAAGGGAATCTTTGGATAAATCACAGTATATCTATACAATGGACATTATGCAACTATTAAAAGAAATTTTATTCATCTCTTAGCTCAGATCTTCTTTCCTCCTGATACTCAGGCCATGAGTGAGTTAAATAACTCTCCTACAGAATCTTGTCTGCAGCCAAAGAACTGACTATATTGTATTAAAATTGGCTGTTTACTAGGACAATAGACCAAAAAATGCTTCCTGAATGATATTAAAGTTAAAAAGAAGGATGGGTAAACCCAGCAGAGTAGAAAGAGAGGAAAAAGCAGACAACAGGTGTAACAGGCAGTGGGGAAGCCATGAGCAAAGGCCAGAGACAGAAAATAAAGGGATTTGAAAATATTCGGTACTGGCAGAGCTTAAAATGTGATGAAAGTGGTTCTGTTGCTGCTGATGGAAGAGGGCATGGACAGAGGCAGGGCGGAGTGCTAAGAAATGAAGCTGGAGAGGGGCGCCTGGGTGGCTCAGTCGGTTAAGCATCCGACTCCTGATTTCGGCTCAGGTGATGATCTCAGGGTCCTGGGATTTAGGCCCACATCAAGCTCCATGCTCAGCAGGAAATCTGCTTGAGATTCTCTCCCTCTCCCCCTGCCCTTCCCCACTCCTCTCTCTCTCTCTCTCTCTCAAATAAATAAATAAATATTTTAAAAGGGAGGGGGAAGAGAAAAAGAGGGAGGAAGGGAAGGAGGGAAGGAGGAAGGGAGGGAGAGAAGAAATCAGTTAGTCAGGAAGCTGTAAAAGTGAAGGCCAGCTCATGAAAAGACCTAGAGGCCTGTTCAAGAGTTTAGTCATCTACTTGATGTTGTCACTGAGGAGCTACTGAAGAGTGAGGAGAGAGCCTGACCACTGGACTGAAAGAGGGAAAGAACGAGGCAGCGGACAGTGACAGGCTGTGTGTGGTGAGGGATGGTGAGGACAAGCCTCAGGACTACATACACGGGAACCAGGAAGCAGAATTCACTGGATTTGGTGAATGGCTGTGGAAGACTGCTGAAAGGAAGGAGCCACGATCAAAGCCAAGCTTAAGAACATAAATGATAAACAGCTTACCTAAGTGACACTGTAGGGGCAGCCACAATGCTAACTTATTTGTCAGCATGTTGGAGAAAGCCTGGCAAGCAGATTAGAGGAAGAAAGGGAGGGAGGGAGAGAAAGGAAAAAAGAAAGGAAAGTAGGAAAAGAAGAAAGGGGGTGGGGGGGGAGGAAAGACTAATAATCAAAAGAAGTGACTTTTTTCCCCTTTTCTTTTTCCATCCTCAGTCTGTGATTATGGAATAATTACAGTAGCTTTATATCACACTCAAATTCAGCTTCGAGTATCTGGTGATCATACTCTGAATGAATCATATTCTGAATGAATGAGCAGATACAGCCTGGAGTGAGTGGGAAATGGGGAACCATCACCCTACAGTGGCAATGAGATGAGAAACTACTCTGTTCCTCATGTTCTTTTTTTATTTTTTATTATTTTTTTTAAGATTTTATTTATTTATTTGACAGAGAGAGATCACAAGTAAAGAGATCACAAGATCTCAAGAGAGATCACAAGACAGAGAGGCAGACAGAGAGAGAGAGAGAGAGAGAGGGAAGCAGGCTCCCTGCTGAGCAAAGAGCCCAATGCGGGGCTCGATCCCAGGACTCTGAGATCATGACCTGAGCCGAAGGCAGCGGCTTAACCCACTGAGCCACCCAGGCGCCCCCCTCATGTTCTTTTTTTACATGTCAGCATTTTACCAAGATGAATATAAATATAAGACTTAAACATAAGACAATTTTTGTACAGTGTGACCCTTAACAATAACTACTTCCTCTAGTACTCGAGTGAAGAAACACTGACCCAAAGAAAACCAGTGTCTACTACAAGGCAGGTATGACTTATTCAGCTTACACTTCCATTATTCTTCAAATAAGAAATGCTCTAAAAGGGAGTGAATGTTTGTCTCTTTACAACTTCCTGCTCTTCACCTTAATACCCACATCCCACAGGTTTTTAAATAATTAATCCAATTAAACGTCATTTCCTTGGCTGGGACATAAGGGAACCAAGATTCTGGTGACACTGCAAGTTTTACAAAGCCATACTAAGTGGTTATGCTGGGAGGATAAAAGTTAGCAATCAAAGGGAATCAATTTTCCTATACGACTTCCTCCGTCATTTCCAAGTTAAAAAGAAGAAAAGAATGGACTTAATACTTCTGACTGCAACTATAAGCCATCTAAATGACAGAAAGAGTTCATTCTCTATGGCACTAAGCAAGTCTTAGCATAATGCCGTGCACCTAGCAGATGCTCAACTGGTACTTGTTAAATGAGTACATTTCTTGTCACCAGTTAAATGAAAACTCTAGGATAATACTGCTTTTTATGAAGATATACCTTTTATAAAAATTTAAAAATACAAATAAATTACTTTTAAAAAACGTACCTGCTACTGTGAGCTTGGCTGTTCTGCTGACAATAGTTCCAAGACTCTCAACAGTGGCCACACACTGATAATAACCTTCATCAGGTTTATTGTGTTTGGAATGCACCACATTGCTGATAAATAAAGACCCATCTGAGAGAAGCTGGCGTCGGTCATCTGATACTAAGTTTAAAAAAGTTCCATCTTTCTTCCATTCAATCTTTGGAGAAGGTTCAGAATATGCTGAACAGTTCAATATAACAGAAGAGCCTCTAACTGAGAGTGTATCCACTGGTTCCACCAGAAAATAAAATGGAGTGAATGTTCGAATGCTGGATCCTACAAAAATAATAAAAAGAACAAAGTTAAGCAAAGCTTTCTTCTTCTATTTCTGTAAGAAAATATAATTTGTATAAAAGTTATTGTTAAATAATTATGCTGTTTGGATATGATACAAGAAAGTCATTTCACTAATCCAATAAATAAAATTTCTTTTACTAGGAAATCAAAATACAACCCCTTTAAAAGATGAAAAAAAGACCCAGCCAGATGAGATAACCCAAATTTGTTAGATTACATGAATATCTAATGAAAGTTTTATTTCAAACCCTACAATGGGATTTGTAAATATTTAAAATTATTTTATTCAAAGTGAAACTTTCTATGAAACATAAAAGAAGCACAAAATTGAAATGATTCTTTGTTATTAATAAGGTATGTATTTGTTTCATAAATTCACCATAAATACACTATGTCCATTTTTCTAGTGGATTACTCATCCTATTGACCTAGCAATCTTTGGGCCTAGCTACCATGTTTTGCAAATATTCCTTTTTCCACTTTGACTTCATTTTTATTATAAGAAAGCAAATTTTAACTCATAAAATTAAATCTGTTATACTCAAAAAGATTTTTATCCCAAGATTATAAAAAAATTTCAGCTTTGTTTTGTGCTAGTACTTCCGTGATTTCATTTTCTACATTTAATCTTCATCTGTAACTCATTTTTTAAGCAAGGAGCTCACAACCCTGAGATCAAGACCTGAGCTGAGATCAAGAGTCAGATGCTTAACCAACTGAGCCACCCAGGTGCCCCTAGAATTCATTTTGCTGTAAAGAGCACAGGAGGGATCAGTTTAATTTTTCTAAGTCCTTGGCCAGTTCCTTGAACATGAAAAGAACATAATTTTTTTAAAAATTTGCTATAGGAACTTTCATACTATTTTCCAGAGTGGCTGTACCAGCTTGCATTCCCACCAACAGTGTAAATAGGTTCTCCACATCCTCACCAACATTTATTGTTTCCTGTCTTATTCATTTTTGCCATTCTAACTGGCATAAGGTGGAATCTCATTGTTGTTTTGATTTGTATTTCCAATGGCTAAAAATAGAACTACCCTATGACCCAGCAATTGCACTACTAGGTATTCACCACAAAGATACAGACGTAGTGAAAAGAAGGGGCACATGCACCCCAATGTTCATAGTAGCCCACAATAGCCAAACTGTGGAAGGAGACGAGATGCCCTTCAACAGAAGAATGGATAAAGATGTGGTTCATATACAGAATGGGGTATTACTCAGCCATCAGAAAGGATGAATATCCGCCATTTGCAATGACATGGATGAAACTGGAGGGGATTATGCCAAGTGAAATAAGTCAACCAGAGAAAGACAATTATCATATGGTTTCACTCATATGCGGAACATAAGGAATAGCACAGAGGACCATAGGGGAAGGGTGGGGAAACTGCATGGGAAGAAATCAGAGAGGGAGACAAACCATGAGAGACTCTGGACTCTGGGAACCAAACTGAGAGTTACAGAAGGGAGGGGGGTGTGGGATGGGGTAGCCAGGTGATGGGTATTAAGGAGGGCAGGTGTTGTGATGGGCACTGGGTGTTATATGCAATGAATGAATCACTGAACACTACATCAAAAACTAATGATGTACTATTTGTTGTCTAACTGAACATAAAAAAATTTCTATAAATCTTATATTCTCGGCCAGATAAAACTTTCCAACTGAAAGCTTTACCTCTTTTAAGAAGAGTACCGACCAACTCCCTTGTAATCACACTGTAATCAGTTCTAATCAGATTTCTTCATGTGAACAATTAGGGAGGCTTAGTCCAGTAGATGAAACCAAGACTGTTTTTAAAATATATCTACACACCCCCTACCTATAATTTATTTACACTATGAATTTAAGAATGACACTAGTTCTTTACTACATAATGAAAGAGTGGTTCTAAATAAATATGGAACACATTGGCAGAGGGAGGAGAGTAATATTCAGTTGTTTTAAATGTTTCTAACAATGAGAATCAAATTCCAAACAGACTAATCTTCCTTTTCCAATCACCACGAAGTGGGTTCCATCCCTATTTGATGATTATGAAATTGATTCTTTGAGTCTTAAAACTCAAATGAGCTTAGGAATTTTTCAGAAGTAACCTGAAGTGATTTGCTTATTACTGTAAAAAATGTTACATTGATACTATAGTAAAATAAATAAAAATATCAACTCCAGGGCAATAGAAAATAATAGCTAAACTAAGAGAAATTACTCTTATACCATTCCTGTGTAATGTTAAATCTTTATTATACCACCCAAATTAAACAATTCAGGAACTTAAGAGATAAATGTATTAGACTGGCAGTCAAAAATGCAAATTATCGATTTAAAATAATTATTAATAAAAAATTTCACTTTAAAATTTGACAGCTTTTGTCATTTAAAAAATATTAAGTACATAAATGTAAATGTTTCACAACTTAATATTATTCTATCTTGCTTTTGATTTTTTTTTTTTTAAGATTTTATATTTATTTGAGAGCGAGAGAGAAAACAAGCCAGGGGAAGAGCAGAGGGAAAGGGAGAAGCAGACTCCCCGCAGAGAGGGAGCCCCACGTGGGGCCCCATTCCAGGATCCTGGGATCATGACCCAAGCCTAATGCAGATGCTTAACCAACCAACCAAGCCACCCTGACTTTCTTGCATTTTAAAAGTCTGTATCAAGCAAGTTGAACAAGAGAATATGCCTTCAAAAAAATTTTTTTTAATTACAGGGAAGTTTACAAATGCCTCTGGAAATCAAGGCCCTTCAAAATTTTACCACACATATACACTCTGTATTACTTAGAATACAGCATTACTTAAATATTTATGTATAGCATCTTTGTATTTTATTCCCTCAGTAAATACACAGTGACCTAAGGTACTGTTCCTTCGCTTAAAATCCCTCAAAGGCTTGCCACCATCATTTACTAACTAAAATAAACTCCCTAAGTGGACTTCCAGGTCACTGTGTGATCTGGCCTCTGCCTACTCTCCAGCCTTCCCTGAGCATCACTCTCCCCTCACCCTCTAAGGCTTGCTGCATCCGTCACCATCCTCCACAGCTCCTGCCCTCTTTGCACAAGCTATTCCCACCATCCCTCCCCCATTAACTCTTGAGTCTTCCTTCCAGCTCAGCTTAAATACTACTTTCTCAGAAATGCTGTCCGTCTCTGTGCCCAGACAAGATTAGTTCCACCTTGTTACAAGCCAGCATGTACCTACACAGCACTTCAAATGTTCTTAATCTAAATATTTGTATTAACTTGTTTGTTAGGGCGCAGAAATTCTCAAGATTTCTTGGCTCCAGGAGCCCTTATTTTTAAAAATTTTTTCACGGATTCCCTAAGCTAAAAGAAATACCTAACAGTTTTAGGTTATAGTTAGGACATAAATATTGATTCATTTGTTTGAACCTAACAAGTTAGTATCTTATTGAAATAAATAATGCAGACAAGTTGAAAAATATTTTAACTTTCAAACAATTAGTTATTATGGGATGTGTGCACTAACTGGACACTGCATCAGTTCTCAAACCTTGAAATCAAATCGGATACTGCCATCCTCATTTCCTGTTCTATACTGATATTTGCATGGTATTTGGTTTTTATCCAAGCAACCACCAAAACCCAATTTCATAAACATCACAGCACTCAAATGAAGGTAGTAGAATCAAATGTTGAAACTGTAAACTACCTTCACCTCAAAGTTTGCACAGTGTCCAACAGGTGTCACTTCATTTCCTTAGAAAGCTTAACATATCCCTGGGAGTAGTGTGGAGGTGCCTTTGGGGTATCTTGAGATAGAGTTTAGGAAAGGATGGTATTAATCTTTAGGTGATACAACCAGACAACCTCTAAGAACTTCCACTGCTTGAAGTATCAATGAGACCACAGGTTCCATTCCAATACTAGCCAATTGGTATCACTTTCTTCTATGATAAAACTAACAAACAGATGTTTGTAAGTTTTGATGAGTCCTTAAAAAATTATATAGAAGACCAAAGAAAGCCAAGAAGAGCTAAAATAATTTAGAAGAACAAAGTAAAGGGACTGCACTCATCAGTTTCCAGTATTTATTAAGTCACTATGGCTCTAGAGCAGGGATAAACAGAGCTCCATAAGCTAGAGAGCCACAAAATAGAGCCATAGATAGATAGATAGATATAGAATATATATTCAAATATATGTATTTCAATGTATAAATATAAATCCAAATATAAATTTATATGTATTATAAATATATATAATTTATAAATACATATCCAAAAATATATATTATATATGATATAGATATACATATATTTGGAAACTTAATATGCAACAAAGAATGCATTTTATATCAACTGGGGGAAAGGATGGACTACTCAATGTTTCTAGGACAACTGATTATCTACATGAGGGAAAAAACAGAAGCCTACTTACAACAGGTAATAACAGTGAACACTTAACATGTTTCTATGTATCAGAGACTGCTCTAAACATTCTCTACATACTAACTACTCATTTAATCTCCACTACAATCTAATGATAGGTACTATTATTAGAGGAGAAAACTAAAGCACCGAAATGTTAAATACCTTGTCCCAGGTCACACAGGTAGTAAGTAACAGAACCAGTCTGTGATCTTAACCACACTACACTATAAAGCCATTCATATACATACAGAAAAATACATTTGAGACCTACAGAAAAAAAAACTATGTAAAAGACTTTTAGGGGGCTCCAGGTGGCTCAGCTGGTTAAGCATCTGCATTCAGCTCAGGTCATGATCTCAGGGTCCTGGAAGGGAGCCCCAAGTCAGGCTCCCTGATTGGCAAGAAGTCGGCTTCTCCCTCCCCCTCTGCCCCTCCAGCCCCCCCACCCCCAGCTTGTACTCTCTCTCTCTCTCTGTGTCTCTCAGATAAATAATAAATAAATAAATAAATAAATAAATCTATCTTTAAAAAAAGATTTTAGGAAAATACAAGGATAACCCTGGAGTCGGGTAACCTTTCAAA